TGTTACGTAGGTTTATTTTGAATTTTATGTCATAATCACTTTATTATGTTATTTATACTTCTTTAGTGCAAATCGTTTTGCCACAGAATCAAAACGTAAAACAGTTAATGTTCAAGATATATTTAAAGCACTTCAAACAAATGGATTTGATATGATAATTGAACCATTGCAAACAACATTAGAACGTGAGCTTTTTTTTGTTTTGTTTTTATAATCGTTAAATTATCAAAACTCCTGATATTATTTCATTAATTCTAGAATATCAATCGGAAATGAAAAAGAAAAAAGATCTATTGAAAACGGCTAAAATACAAGACTCCTCATCAACTGTTACTGACACAGCTGATGAAAAAGAAGAGCATGTAGATAAAGATAGTAGCAATACAGATATTCAAATGAATGAATCAAAAACATTTGAGATAGATAATGAACTAGATACAATTGATGAAAAACATGACGGCTGATTCTTGATCTTGAATTATTGTATATCATTTATGTCAGATAATTTTTTCTTTTTGTATATTTTTGTACTGAAGTGTTCAATATAAATTTTCTCATCAAAAAACTTGTCTTTGTTTTGGGATAAATCTTTGATTTACACGTCTATGGAATCGCAATAACTAGCTCTTTCTAGATGATGATATTGCATTTAGAACAATATACTGTTAGTATTTACTGTATACAGTTACAGTTAACTATACGTAAATAAACACAAATTGACATCAACAAAATAAAGATGAGTGAGATAAAGTAAGCACATCGATTAAATTCAACTTGTTTATTCTGATTTACTAAGGAAGATTTGTTTTATCTATAAAGTCTTTCTGATTATAGTCTTTTGGCTATGGAGATATATCAACAACGCAGAGACATTGTTTAGAAAAAGAAAGCTAATAAAAAAATACTATAAATGATGCTAAGCACACTTCTTGTCATAAAATGACATAATTGAAAGCTCCTGGTATTCGTCTGTTCGAAAGGAGGGGAGGGCGGGGGCATATTATTATTATTATTATAGGGCATATATTAGTGCGTTGCATCTTAGCGCGTCTCATTTGAGCACATTTTCATTTTAGTGCGTCTTATATGGGTGCGTTTTCAATTACACAACTCATTCCTCAAAATATTTTGAAACTTTTGAACTGTTTCCATCACCACTGTTTGAGATTAATTCTCAGAGGTCAGTAATCGTTTATAGTAAAAGGAGAAACAGTCCTTCAAGATATTTTAAGGAATGAGTTGTGTAATTGAAAACGCACCCATATGAGACACACTAAGTAAGACACACTAAAATGAAAATGTGCTCAAATGAGACGTGCTAAAAAATCATGCACTAAGATGCAACGCAGTCAAGTGAGACGCACTCAAGTAAAACCTCACCATTTGAAAGATATAAAGACAAAAAAAGAGCGAAAAACTATTGGAATCATGTTTTCGGCTGAGTTATGTGAACTGACTGAAGTTTCAAGAACTGAACAACCTGGACAAAGGTAACGGCGTGACATTTTTGACACGCTAATTCCGTTTTTTTGAAAAAACTATAATAGCTAGAGGATTGACTTTACCGTCATTTTATGCAGCTCGGAATTCTGCATCCATGCTGAAAAAACAAGAAAAATCGGCTTACATTTGCGCGCTACAGAACAGTTTTTCAAACGTTACTGCCGTGACAAAACCGACCCTTTTTTAAGTCAGTCAGTTCAATGTCTATTTTTCTGCGAATTCTTCCAAGGAAAAAAAAACCTATCAAGATAAAGTTTGCGGAAGAGGTTACGGTCTACACATTGGTAATAAAATATTTCTGAAAATGAGCTTCGGTCGCTTAGGAAAGCAATTAAACTAAAGTAACACCGTGACATTTTTGGTAATCGCGTGACATATTTTTTTTAAAGGTAAATATTCGAATTTTTATCGATACAGATTATCAAAAACAAAATTAATAATGCCATAGTAGTTTGTTGGCCTCTTTTTTACAACAAACATCAAATTCTGACGTGTTCTGGTACATCTGACCACGTTTACGTTTCTTTTTTGAGGAGGTACTTGGCCGCTAGCATATAGAAGATTTTCGAGTTTTCCTTAATTTATTCGGTTACTGTGCTCCAAAATCAAATAATTTAATCATATTCGGAATAAGCGTGATCTGCATCGATTGATGTATAATTATGTCGACAGACATTATGTGTTTTTGATGCGAAAAATGTTTTTTTCTTTAGTCACTATTTTGTGCAAAATATGCGCCTCATGATCTGGAGAAATACGTTACTTAGAGAAAACGGGATATTGAGCTTGATATACTCGAGATTAACGCATGTTTATTCATTTTTCGAGCAGTGGTCCACATTCTGCGCCCTAAGATGGAAGAAGTTAACGGAAAATGTATGTTGGACTTACGAGAGAACGTTCCCAACTGATAAATCGCTTTGGAACCGAAACCTAGTGAACTATAGGTAGTCGACCATGCTGATTCCGAATATCAACATGAGACGTGCTGCTAGGCCTCCAGAGACTGGTTTTCTAGAAAATAAGTTTTCCAGAAACTCCGGAAAATCTCCGAAACTTTCCTTAATAAATCATGTTTGTAGCGTGCGAAATTCTGATTAAAATGAGACATCCCACAGCTCTACACGACCTCTCTTTGCAATGTTATAAAATCTACAAAAAAGTCCTAAATGTTCATTGTCAATCAGAGGTATAGAAAGAAAAAGGAAAAAGGAATTTAGAGCTCTTCTTGTAAATTCTATAACCTTGCAAAGAAAGGTCGTGTAGAGCTGTGAGATATCTCATTTTAATCAGATTTTCGCGCGCTACAAACATGATTTATTATGAAAAGTTTCGGAGATTTTCTGAAGTTTCTGGAAAACTGGTTTTCTAGAAAACCATTCTCTGAAGGTCTAGTAGCATGTTGATATTCGAAATCAGCATGGTCGACTACCCATAGTACACTAGGTTTCGGTCCGAGAGCGATTTATCAGTTGAGAACGTTCCTTCGCTAGAAGTTTTTCATATAATTTGTTGCCAGCGCCATTTTTAAGGAGAACTTTGAGAATAAAATAAAATAAATTGTTTATTTTTATTGAAAAAAGAATTTCGTTAGTGAGGGAAAGACAACGAAAAAGAAAGCAAAACCGTGTGACTCAGTCGGCTAGTAGGCAGACAACGTACTTCAAACATACGGAGTTCAAATCTCGGCAACGGCGGTCGCGTGATAGTCTTGGACAAGCTATCTAATGCTCATTGTTTCGGTACCCTTGGATACAGATGATCAATGGGGTAACCCTATTCCAGTGCCATTGGACTGAAGAGATGAGAGTTAGAGTTTAAAAAGAAGATTCATTGGTCAGAATACGAAGACATCAAGTTATTGATAATTGAGATTGTTAGGAATATTAGGAAAAAGAAAGTAAAACAATAATTAATTCACTACCATAAATTTATAAGATATCTCTTTTAGGTATCTGATGAAAGAAGAAACAATAGCTTAGCCTTAATTATGCAAGGATTTAATGTTTCTTTCTTCTAGGTCTGCATCTAAGACAGATTTTACTCTGGTATCTGTACACTGCCGCCTATTGTGTTGAAAAGAGTTATTATTAACTCTTATACTGTTGCAGCGCTTTCTGTCATTATTCAGCACATACAAAGTCTATCAACATCGCACCTTGTGCAAAGCACAATTGTATTCTAGTTTGAGTTGATTTGAGGAAACACCACTGTTGGCAGAAAAACTGTATTTTATTAAAAATCTGTCACGGCGTTACCAAAATTTCCTCAATAAGGAATTTCTTCACAATAAAAGTTAGTGGTTAGATAGTCCGTCAGTTGTCTATAAACCATCCCTTTGTTAGCAGAAATATACTAAATAACTTGGATGAAACTTTAAAAAAAGTTCTTTCGGTAACGGCGTGACATCATGAATTATCAATTATTGTTTCAATTAGCATCAGAAAAGGAAGAACGGATAAAAAAATTTTCAACCGCTAAAATAAACTTAGATATGATAGTATATTGAGCAATAAAGAAGACGACTTTGAATGACATACTCGCCAGTGCCTAAGGTTTACAAAATTAGCTCACTGAAGACGCTTTGTACGCGATGTCTGCAAAGGAATACTGAATGTCTTATAACCTAGAACCTTTAGTCTACAGGCAACTAAAAAATATGTTTCTATATGCTATCGACTACGCTCTACAAAATGGCACAAGTCGTTTGGTCAGAATCTGATTTTAAATGTCATAAGTTAAAAGACTTAATAAAGAGTTTTCTTCGCGAAATTAGCTAGTTACAGTAAGAAATTAAAAAGTTTGTTTTTTTAATCATTCGAAATTTGTACTCTGGATTAGCTCGCAAATCCATTTTGTGTATGATTTATTTGATACCAGACAGAAAGACAAAATCGTTGTTATAGTATTAGTCATTTGTACACTCATCATCCTTCTCAACATATGCACTAAACTTATCATTGTTCTCAACATGTGCACTAAATCGTAATAGTTAAAGCAAGTGTGAAAAAGTACGAAGTGTGAGAATGATCTAAAGAACATCTGATTTAGTTCCCATATAATTTTACTTCTATATGTTTCGTATGTCACGCTTCTGACTTAGCTGTAAGCTATAAAATAAATGCAAGAGATAGAAAGATTTCTTTTTTTTTTAATTCATCAGTTAGACTAGTCTTCATTCAAAATAATGTCGATAAATAACTTTCTTCTATATAGTACCAATGTGTCTGACGTCTGTGACAGTAATTCAAGCAATCAACAAACACCACCGCCACAACCTATTCCAGAATCAACAATGAACTTAGTAAAAAATAGTAATCAAAGCGTGTGTGAACAACATGATGTACCCGGTAAAACGTCTTTTTTTTCCTAAAGTAAAATCGAAGATTTGCTTATGTCGAACGTGATACCAAAGTTCTAGCTGGTGAAACGTTCAAGTTACGGTTTTCGATTAAACTTTAGCCATAATACTGTGGATACTGGTATCTGATTCCATCATGGAAAATCTTGCCGAATCAAATGAAAGTAGATCAGTTTGTTTCAAGACAAACTACTGAAAAGTCTTTGTTTGTAGCTACGCTTTAGTTATCTCGTTTGTTAGTCTTCCTCGAACTTAAATAGGGTATTAGGCTTTTTTTGTTTCATAATTTTGGACTGATGATTTCTATCATTTGTTTAGTATTTCCATGGTTTGGTATTGATATTGGTGGTACATTAGTTAAATTAGTATATTTTGAACCATTGGATCTAACGGCTGATGAAATCAAACATGAGGGAGATATTTTACAAAATATTCGTCATTATTTAACATCAAATCGAGCATGTAAGTTTTTTTATAAATTAATTGAACCATTATGCTTCTGTCGAAAGCAGACATGCAGAATCATCTACTCGTAAGAGCAAAACTTCTCACGGGAAATTTTTAAAAAACTCCTCAGTAGTACAGAATATTTTCTTTTGCGATTATTTTTCAGCAAAAATGCTGTTTTATTAAAACTTTTTCTCGAGCAAGCAGATATGAGAAACTGTTTTTTCTATCTGGAGACAGCGTTTGCGTCTTTTTGAAACAATTTCATACCTCAGCATTGTTTGCACATCCTGCTCTACTATGAATTATTTTTCTGTCCTTTTTAGATGGAGAAGATGGTGTAAGGTATGATGAAATTAGAAAACGAATTCTGAATTATAAGTTGAAAAAAATTTTTTTTAAGAGACGATTTGTTGGAACTGAAAAGCATCCGTTTAGGAGGAAGACGTGGTAATTTACATTTTATCCGTTTTCCAACATCAAAAATGATTAATTTTATTGAATTCTGTGTATCACGAAATCTTCATACGTTAACATTTCAAATATTTGCTACGGGTGGTGGTGCTTATAAATTTGATCGAGATGCCGTGGAAGTAAGTAAAAAGTTTTAAAACGCAAATAAATTCTATTTAAAAGATTTATTTATTTTTGTTAAGAAATTGAAATTAAAATGGTGCAAATGTGATGAATTAGATACACTGATAAATGGTTTAAGTTATCTAACAAAGTTAAATACAAATGAATGTTTTTGCTACGAAGAACCACAAAATGAAGATAATCCAAATAAACATACATTTAAGTTTGATATTCAAAAACCATTTTTACTCGTTAACATTGGCAGTGGAATAAGTATTTTACACGTACAATCAGAACACTCTTATAGACGTATAACAGGAACAAGGTATATCAAGTAGTGAAAAATAGATTCAAATTAATTGAATTTTTCTTTTTCATCTTATAGTATAGGTGGTGGTACATTTCTTGGTCTATGTTGTTTATTAACCGGTTGTTCAACATACGAAGAAGCAATTACTTTAGCTATACACGGTGATAGTACAAAAGTATAAGATTATAGAGATATATATAACGTTTATATGCGTTCTAAATATCGTTTTTAAAACTAAGGTTGATAAATTGGTGAAAGACATATATGGTGGTGATTACGATCGTTTTCATTTACCGGCACATATTGTTGCATCCAGGTAGGACTATTTTACTCATTTTAGAGTGAAAATATTGTTATTCGATGAGATTGAATAGGAAAAAAGAAAGCGAAAAATCTTGTGTAACTAACTAATTTGTATTTCAAGTTTTGGCCATATGAATTTATCTGACAAACGTGAACAAGCGTCAAAAGAAGATTTGGCGCGTGCCACTCTTGTCACTGTGTTGAATAATATTGGTTCAATTTCCATGATGGTGGCAAAAACGGAAGTTAGTTTAAAAATATTTCTGACTACATGCAATGATCTCTGTTATTATTATTATTATTTTATTTTAGAATGTTGATCGTATATTATTCAGTGGTAGTTTTTTACGTATTAACGATCTGTCAATGCGGCTTTTAGCATTTGCCATGGATTTTTGGTCTCAAGGACGAATAAAAGCTATTTTTCTCGAGCATGAGGTAAAATACTGATATATTAAAAGAAAATAGAGTTGAACTCGTTTTCATTTTAGGGCTACTTTAGTGCTGTTGGTTGTTTAAGAAAGTTCATTATGGACGCTAATGGTGGTAATTGTACCGATATACCTTTATCATCTGACGTTCAGTCAGCGCCAACTAATTCCGCAGGTTATTCCAACATAAGTTCATCTAATTATACACTGCTACCATAATCCACATAAATCGATAAAACATGTTCAAATGGTAAAAATTGAAAAAAAAGGCACTATCTACTTTTCAGTTATTGGTACATGTCATAGACAACCTAAGCTTGATAAAAAGAATAATAACAAAATATGCATGTCTTTAGGAGCTCAGTGCAAAAATATCTCAGTTTTCTTATAACTTCCGTCAATGTTAATATTTGTGATAAACTTGTTTTTCACTATTTTATTTTTACATTGTTTTTGCTGTTGTTATTGCTCTTTAAAAAAAATCTCAAAACTGCTTATCTGCCATATTGTCTTTCCGTCAGTAGTATGATCGTTAAACTCATCCTCAAAGATCTATTTGATTGTTATATGTTTGTTAAAACACAAGAACAGTGTTGTCTAGTAAACTAACTTAACTCTTTTATCTTTTTTATATTGTTGATGTATAACAACATCGATGATATATATTTTTTCTATACTGATCTTTTTACATATTTATATCCGTATAAAACATAATACACTGTTATGTTTGTTTTTTTTTGTTTTGTTTCGATTAATATATCTCTTTTAGTGAGATTAAATTCCACGTACATCTTTACTGTTTTTCATGTACACAAAGTTTTGCTACAGCTTACATTTGATAAAAACATGTTTTTTTCATTCTTCTTCACGTTTATCTTGTGCATTGAACGGAGTGAATCAAACACTTAATTCTATTTCAAAAAAGATTATCACTCACATTTATCTTTTGAGTTCTATTAGTTCAGAAATAATCTTTTGAATTAATTAAAGTTTCATCTTGTATCGAACAAGTCTTTTACCTGATACATCGAGTTCTACTTAATGGTTTTGAGAAATCTAATATTTTTCTAACCATGAATAGACTTTTATAGAAGAATAGCTTGAATATTTCTTAAGCCTTTATAATACTGAATAAAATAAGTCAACCGTCTCGATTGAGCAACTTTATCTTATTTTTTATTCTTATTAAGGAGGCCTTTCTTTAGAACATTTTTGTCTACCACGTGCATTCGAATGAAACGAAAGTTTCAGATATAGAAGTACGTCTAATGTAAATAGACAAAAGAAAAAAAAATTACATAATAAATAAGTAGATGGCTAATGTATAGAACCATTTAGCAGAATCGCTAAAGCTTTTTTGTAACATTAGTTTGACTGCAAAACGACAAGTCGACACGTTTATGTCAAATTTATCTGTATTGTTTTTTGAATTTCTGCTTTGTTGGTTATAAATAGGCATTTCAAATTGATAATCCGAAGTAGCGGTTTTTCTGCCACCTCAAAATACATGTTTTCTCTAAAAATGAAAAAGAAATTTCAAAAATAGTATGAGTCAACGTTTGATCTTCTGAAAAAAATAATTTATTATCGTACGTTGGATCGTGAGACAAAGTAGTGCATTTTTATGACTTGTAGGAAAATACTTATAAGTTTTTATCTGTTCAAGTTGTTGCCGCATTAGCCATAATCGTTCATCCTTTATCAAACACCAGAGCAAACACACAAAATAAAAGAGAAAGAAAATGTATATGGAATAATTACATCATCAACGTAACAAAGATGTCTGATATTCTCTCGTGCACAAAGAAGTAAATGATTGTGAAAAATTGAATGTTATTATTGAAAAATAAACGAGAATGGCAATAGTTAACGGATGTTGAAACGAAATATCGATAACTACAATTGAAAAAACCGCAAAGAAAGTTTAATGAGAAACAAATCAGGTGAACAGACAATTTACCAACGACTTAATTAAACAATAAAACGAATGGAAACAAACTACACTCTAGAAAAAGCGTCTTTTTCCAAAAATCTAGAAGTTGTTATAACTCTCATCAAGCCTAACTCTTTCTTTAATGTCCTTCACAAGAGGTTTGGCGAAAAGGTTAGGATTTCAGAGACTTCTTCCTAAATCCTTGCTCTGAAATTTTTCGATTTTGGAAAAATCGTTTTTTTTAAAGTACTGGCCAAAATCGTCTTCGCTCAAACCCAGTCAGAAATCAATTAAAAATCTGTGAAATATTCAAACTTCAGAATGAAAATAATTGCTTCACAGTATATATCCGGGTGACAATTCCCAACATAGTTATCGATGTCTCATTATACTTGATAACTTTGATTGTTCTCAGTTGAAAGCTTTGAGTCAATGCTACTAGCAGATTAAGAATCCGAAACTTAGTAGGAGAGGTGTTTGTTATAAACTTGAAAAAGCTTCATTGTCTTTATGCCAGATTGTTGGCATGACGATACGTTTTATGACCAGTACACTCACGATCCAAACATGTTACCAGCAGTACCTTTTTGAATAACGAAGTAGATATCAGTGTTTAAATATTTACAAAATGCCACATACATTACGCAGAATTAAAATTAATTATTGTCGTCAGCAATTTTACTCATTTCATTTTTTCGGATAAATCTATACTAATAGCTCATTTATTATATTTGTTTATTTTTTCTTAATTTCTTTATTAATGGTGATTAAAAACTAGCAGACTTTATTTTCATTTGTATTTTGCTCGCTAAAACTTGAAAAATAAACAGAAAAAAATGTCTTTGGAACCTTTCATAAAATGAATACAGGTTGATATAAGAGTGTTCGAAGACGGGTCATTTTGTTCGCAGAAACTTGGTTTCGTTCACTTCTGATTTTCTGAAGATTCTATTTCAGCAAATTTCAATGAAACTTGCCTACATTTCGATCGTAATTGTAAGCTCTTTTAGCTAAGGAAATCACTTTTCAGATTTGTTCGAGATATTATAATCGAGTAAAAAACGTTAAAAACAGATCGTTTCTATAATCTTGTATAGAACGGTATATCTTTCCTTCGATAGATAAAACAACAAGATCTAATTAGATAGTCTAATAAGTCAGCTCCCGTTATTTTCTATTTGTTTTCTTCTAGATTAAATAATGAGTGGAGTTTCTAGTATTTGGCATATGTTTTGTTTTCTTGAATGTTGTTCGAAACACTGGGTACCAAATAATATTACAGGTGATCAATCGTTTGATAGTTCTCTTTCTTTATTAATTTTCTATTTTTTTTCAGTACTTCAAACACGAATGCAACATCAACTAATGGGACAGCCAATGGCTTATGATCTTGTTTTAAAGTCAATTAGTTCACATGTTTTAACAGAACATCCATCAAAAGCTCTAGTATTATCATTTCATGGAAGCACAGGAACAGGTACGAATCAATCAATATTTGTATCTCTAAGACAAAAGTATTCTCACTGACGTTTGCAAACTTTTTTTCTGTATCTTCCTTTTTTTTTTCCTAGGGAAAAATTTTGTTACAAAACATATCGTTGAAAGCTTATATCGAAAAGGATTTGAGAGTAAATATGTTCGATTATACGTATCTTCTCGTGATTTTATGCATAATGATCCTGAACATTTGATCACGTACAAGGTAGGGTGTAAGTAATACAAGAATAACAAAAAGTATTCGTTCTTAAACAGTAATAATTTGAAGAATGCTTTAGGAACATCTTAAAAAGGATATTGAAAAGGCTACAAGTGGATGTTCCCAATCGATATTTATATTTGACGAAGTTGATAAGATGCCCATACAATTACTCGATACCATCATTTATTATATTGATTTTCATATTCCAAGCTATACGAAACCAGTTGATTTTCGAAAAACAATATTTATATTTTTAAGGTAAATTCAATTGTTCGTATATATTATTAAAAATAGAGATTCTAATATTATTTTTTGATATTTATTAGTAATACAGGTGGCACATCAATGATTCGTTTAGCACAAAAGTACCATTTATCAGGAATTAAACGTGATAATTACAATGTAGTAGAATTTCAAAAAGCTTTATCAAATGCAGCATTTAACGAAGAAGGTAGTTGGTATAAACTTTATTCTGTCAAAATACAAGCGAAAAAATATTCTGTTATAGTATTCTAAACTAAAATTATCGAAAAATACAAAATCAGTTTTTGTATGTGCACAGTTTGTATATGAACTTAGTTTTCCAGTAAACTACAAAACTAAATTCTAAACTGTTCTGTGTCTATATTCTGTACAACGATTGAAGAAGGTAGTCTATATCATAAATGAGTTTGTAATGTAATATACACACTTTACTATTAGGTTTTTATCAATTTTAGGTGGCCTATGGCATGCATCTTTAATTGAAAAACATTTGGTAACATTTTTTGCACCATTTTTACCATTAGAACGCGAACATATTCGTACCTGTATTCAACGTCAATTAGATATTATCATTCAACAAAATCAAGAAACGAGTTTAACAGTATTAGAAAAAAGTAGTATTATTGATGATGTGATTGATTTAATTGAATTTGCTCCGCCAGATACAGCACTCTATTCCGTATCAGGCTGTAAAAAAGTTCAACAAAAATTATATTATATACTTGAAAGTAGACGAAAAGAAAATAGTCAATGTGAACTACAGCATGAGGAAGTTTGATATGTATACTTTTTCGTTTAAAAAATTGATTAGTGGTTCTTCTTGGCATATGAATTAACCTTCTTTCTATGATAATAGTCATATGCTTTTTATGAGTAAATTATTCCGGTGCGTTAAAAAAAAAGAAATTCTCAGGAAGATATATTTTCGTTTCGAGTATTTTCTATTTTTTTGCTCTGTATTGTGTGTCAAAGACTTTTGTTTATGTTTTTCTTTTATTCAACATGATCTATTTTAAGTGATAATAATTTTTTATGTCTTATTATAAGTCTGATGATAGTAAGGAAGACTGATGCATTTCCTTAATAATCTGGACTGAATAACGAACAAAAACGATCGTTAGATCTAATAAGAGAAAGTTTGAAATTGAAGAGAAGCGTTTATTTAAATCAGAATATGATCGTAATGTTATTTAATTTCTGTGTTTACAACTGTCTTGATTGTCAAATGATTTGTGTATGAGTAGTTAGCTATATAATCGTTTCATAAAATTCTGATATATTTTTTCTTCAAGTTTTAGATATTTATTGAACGCATTATTTCAACTATCAATATGAGTCTAAAACAACAAGTCGAATTATTGAATAATGAAGTAAAGATATTCAAATTAAATTATTTTCTAGTAATAGAAATATTTATATTATTTATAGATTCATATATTACAGAAAAAACTTGATAGTAAAATAAAAGCATTTTCAATTTTAATGAATGAATTAGATACGCTTAAACATGAACGTAATCAGTTTAAATCAATTGCTGATCATTTACAAGAAAGATGTGTTCAAATGAAAAAACGACTTGCCATACAAGTATAAAATATAATTCTACAATGATTTCTTTTTTTTTTACTGTTTTTGATTTCCCTAATGTTTCTATATTTATAGCATGATCCATTAGCTTATCATTCAACTGCAAATGGATACGACTATGTCAATGATGTATGTATTTGTGTGAAATTTTAGCTTTAGTATTGTCTATTCTTATTCTATTATTCTTGTTTAAAAAAAAAAAGAAATATTTAGGACATGATGAGGTTGGTAATGCATATCTACTCTTTTTCAATATCTATAAATTTATTTCGCATGATAGATAATGCTTTGATTGATAATGCATGAAAATTATACAAAATCAGTTTTGACTAATTTAAAATTCTACTTGAAATGCAATAGAGTGTAGTTAATTCGATTTTTTTCAATAATAACATATCGAATATTTGAGTATAGTTTGGTGATATTTGTTTTACTAGTAAGAGCCGAAAAAAACGGTCACACATATCTTGAATTGTGCACAAAAACTAAACGTGTATGTGGGATAAGTTTATATAATGCATAAAACATCAAATTTTACTTCGATTATATGTGTGTAAAACAAAAAAAATGATTGATTGATTGAATGATATATATATTTTTAGAGTACAATTCAATTATTAAAAGATGCTCTAAAAACTGTTCAAGATGAAAAAGAAGTATTACAAGGAAAATTTGATGATGTATCACGTGAATTAGTCGATGTTCGTGGCGATTTAAATGTACATAATTTTAATGATTTTCTATTGTATCTTATTTTTCTTTTAAATAATATTTAATTTAGATTTTTCGTCAAACACGACATCGAGCACGCATCAGTACCAATAGCAATAATGAAGATTCAATATCAACGAATGATAATCAAGATTTATTGAAACGATTAGAACAATCAAGTGAACGGGTAAATTTCATTCTTTCTTTTTATTTTTGGATTATTAAACATCTTTGACATGTTGTTAGTCTATTTATTAAGATTAATACATTAGAAAATGATTTAAAATTAATTGTTTGTCAAAAAGAAGAGTTAGAAATTGAACGTGATTCATTTAAAACAAAATATATGAAATTAAATCAAGAATTAAATAAAATGTTACATGGAGATGAAAAACGGGTGGTCGATATTGAATCGGTTATTTCAGAGAATAGGTTTATTAACTTTTGTTTTCTATATTAGATCAGTATTCATATGTTGCTCTTTATTTCTAGATATTTGAAAGAGAAAATAAAAGAATTAGGACAAGAAAAAAGTCTAGCGATTGCTAATGCAACAAAATATAAAGTAAAATCAATAGTAGTAATCATAGACAATAGAATTTCTGTTATATTACTTTTTTTAATCTTTATTAGGAATTATTGCAAACAAATCGTTCAGCATATAAGCGTTTAGGAAAAGTTCAATCGTCTAGTAGCATTCTTACACATAAACAAGGTAAGTGTACATCGGACAAGAATACCCGATTTAAAAGTGAAAATTAGAACGTATTTTATATTGATGTATTTCGCGTATTTTATAACAAATTAATTTACATTCACATATTCACACAAAAATGAGCAACATGGAAGGCAACATGTACTAAGATATAAGTAAATTGTCTAAGATTATTACACGACTTGATGGTGCCGAGGTCACCAAGCCATGCTGTCGTAGTTTATGAGATCAGTAGGTGTACAGGCAGCCAGTAAAGATTCATAGAAGTCACAGCTGTACACCTAAGTAACCGGAAGAATTAAGATTAAGGCTTTACTTTGTAGCCAGAATATTATTCTTTAAAATGACGATCAAGAAAAGTTTAGCACTTCAGAAACATCTTATCTTTTAAAATAGTTAGATGTTAGACTTTGTTTAACTGTTGTTTTCAAGCAAAGCATTCGAGCTATAAAATAAGACGTTCTTCAACTCTGTAGTTTATTTGCATAAAGAACTATGACTTTCCGAAAACGTGACTAATTTACGCAAAAGTGGAGTTCTAGGTGATCAAAGGAGACTTAGAAAGAGATATGATTACCCAAAACTTACGGCCCAAATAAAAAGTGATATCAGCACAGTGTATGTGTTATGGGTCATCTTTTATTTTAACCTTAAAGATGGGTAAAAATATGAAGCAGAAAAAAGTCCAAAAACTAGAAGAGCTGGGACTCCTAACTTCGGGTCAACTTCATGGAAAGTATGGATTTTAATCAAAGAAAACTGTTTGACGAAGAAACATGTATTCAGATAGGAATACTTCTTTTCTAGTTCAAAATATTTTGAAACAAAGTTATGGTATGCCAAATAATGAAGCGACAACGTCTGATTTACGTGCCATTGCCGAAGCACTCTTCGAAAATATCAAGGACAAAAATTTGACACTTCTTCATCAACGAAAAACAAACAAGTACGGTTTTTTAGTATAGATTCTTATCCTTTATTTTATATAGTCAATTGTTGCCTTTCTCTTTAGAATTTTAGCTAACCGTGTTAATGAACTAGAAAAACGTCTGGAAGAAATATCCGGTTTTATCGTTGATAAAACAGGTATATGAAGTCTTTTTTCATTATCAACTGTATGTAATCTATACCTTTTTTTAGATCAAACTAACTCACTCACACAATTACTTGATGCGGACAACAAATCAGTAATATCACATTCAGATTCTTTTCCAGATTCTATAACATCTTTTGTTAATGAAAACGATAATGATAAACAACCGACAACTGAATTATTTGGATTTTTGTGGCCAGTTGTTACAGAAGCGACGAAAGATCAACAACAATCAAAAACATCTGTAGACGAAATAAAATCGTCAAAACATACTTTAACATGTCAACAATCATTGAAAACAAAGTCAGATAGTATTGAGTTAGAAATGGACAATCCGTTGCCTTCTCCTTCTTGGTCAAATTCACAAAGTACTGTAGCTTATTTAGAAGAAACTGATATTATTCCAGTGAACACCACAAATATCAATGACGAAAGTAAGTTCCAATAAAATTGTTCGTTTTTTTTCTTCTCAAGTAAAACTTGTGTTGTATTAGATTCGCCTTGTAACATTGACAATTTGACTCAATTGACATCAACAACTGATCATGATATTGAAAACTTACATGATTTACTGAGTGCATGTAGTACAAAAATGTCTAGTTCAGATTTCTCTTCCTCAGAGAAAAATCTCGATGACAATAACGAATCGATAGAAAATGAGCCACTTTTGCAAAATAATACGAAAACAATGACAACAATGGTATTATCCAATTTAACTTGTTAATTTAGTGAAGATATAAAAAATATATTTTCTAGTTTTTGCTTTTTCTTGTTTTAGTGGTAAGAAAAGAATATATTTTTCTTAGTTGTGTTTAAATCTCGTCCGATACCTCAAATGAACCGTTTTATGTTTTAAAAGGATCTCATTTATTTGTTTTTTGAGTTATTTTCATCTCTTATTTTTAACTGTAATAGTGAATACATTAATAATCATATAAAATAAAGTAATGTGAAGACGTATTTAAAAATAATTTTCAAGTATTTTTTGTACCATTAAATGATCTATAAGACATATCCACCCTTCTGAATGATTCCGGTTAAATATATCCGACGAATTCTACTCGAAAACAAGCACTCCCATAACACCATCAATATGACTATCAAGCTGAAGTTTCTCTGTAGCTATTAAGTATTTAGCCTATTGTAATACATCATTCGAAAATGGCCTGGAAAACTTCTGCAATATGCGTTAACAGGAAACTTAACGTAAGCAAAGTAAATTTCAAAATCCTTTTCGAAAGTAGGAGTTTGCGAGGATCTTTGGACAACCAATCTAGTTCCTCAAAAGTTGAAGTAGAAATATACTGTTATTTTTGCATTAATAGATGGTCAAAGTGTCCTCTTCAAAACGGAAGTCAAGTGAGACCGCAATTTTCAGTGATTCGAGCGTGGTATCGAATTTTCTTCGGGCCCCAGGACCCTTACTCGGTGGCTTCGAAGAGTCTTGAAATCGCATGATACATGTGTAATTGACAACGCTAATTTGTTAGCAATGTTTTTTTTTGAAAAGAAATTCCAAAATCTGGTGAAAATCGAGTTTTACTAAAATTAAGCTTTTCAGACTGCTTTCATTTGATACTAAAAATTCACCATTCCTTCAAAAAACGTTAGAATTAGTTAAAAACGTCAGGATGTGGTTAACTTTGTCTGTTAAGTGATCATACCGTAAGAAAATCGCAAAACTATGTATTTGCTCAAAAGCTTTCTAGAAATCCTTTTTAAAACTCATAGAGTTTTATAATTCGTTTTTTGCAGATTTTTTATAAATAGAATAGCCTAAATACTGTATATCCTGACGTTTTTAACTCATTCTAACGGTTTTTCAGTGAATGGTGAATTTTTAGTATTAGATGAAACCAGTCTGAAAACCTTAATTTTAGTAAAACTCGGTTATCACCAGATTTTGAGATTTGTTTTCGAAAAGAAAGATTACTAACAAATCAGCGTTGTCGATTACATATGTACCATGCAATTTTAAGACTATTTGAAGTCACCGAGTCCTGGGGCTCCAAGAAAATCCGACACCACGCTCAGACAAATAAAGTCTGAAGGAAACTTTGAGTTTTTTCCTGATAAGGGTAGATAAATTTAGCGAAATTGAAGAAAATTTCCGCGTTTATAAATGTTTATCCACAATGGTATTGTATCATCGAAAGAATAAGAATAAAAAGTGACCGAAGTGACCGACGACTTTAGTTTTTTTTCAAGAGGTTTTTCGATATCCACTGTTGTCCTAAAGTCAATAGCGACAGTTCAGAAGCACTTTTTTTACTATATCAAATCAAATGTTGACCTTTCGTACGGCTCGAAAGTAGATTGAATTCTATGTTTGTATGTTCTTGTTATAACAAACTGGATCAAATTTCCTTCCTTATTCTATTAATATATCAATTTGAAATAACAAGGTTAAAGTTTACGTAACCTTGACGAGTGTTATAGTTATTATTTCTCGCTGAACAATGTCTGATTTTTCTTTTAATAGGAAAAAAAGTTTCAAATAGTTCTGTTTTATTATTACACGAACTATATAGAGTGTGAGAGTCTTTTGATAGGCATTAAACCTATACGATATGAAACAAAAAACTACTACTCATTTTTCAAGAGATGCTAGTAATGAAGAAATAATGAAGGATTACGAACGAGTGTAGTTTCAAAAATTCTTTTTTCTTCAAAATAATTTGTAGTCCATATTTTATGTTCCTGATTAACTAAAATTGTGGATTATACGGCAAATTTCAACCAGAAAATTAGCGTATCAATACATAATTCTCACTAAGACATGATAAACATTTGTCTATAATCATCATGTCCTTCATCGTAGTAAAGACTCATCAAGATGTCTCATGGTTATGTAATTGAGACTATGCATGATTTATATCTCATTATTCAATGACAGATGATGTTTTTATTTAGGATTATAGCACCCTTGGACAAGATTATATTAGTTTTTTTCTTCTTTTTAATCTTTTACTAGAAAAAAATGTTTATCTTTTTCTAAATACTGAAAAATTTTCATTTAGGCCAATCAACGATTGAATTTCATTTAATCTTGTCAAATATGGTTTGAGTGTAAAGCCCAATATATTTATTATTAAAGGGTATTAAATTATCATTGATAGTTTGGTAATAAAATAGTCATGGTAGAAAAAGAAAAGATTTAATATGTGTTAGCAGATAAAAAATAGCAGAAAAATATAATTACATAGAGAATAAAGAATATTGACAAACATAGGTACAAAATAATAACTATACATATTATACATTGGGCAAATAAAAATGAAGTCGTTTCGGTTAGGATTGTTCTAGTGACTAGCGGCAAGTTTTATTATTTTATCAGTTAGAAGGATAATAAATTTCTAGAATGATGAAAATTGAATAGAGAATAATGTGTTATTGCATTTGTATGTTTCACAAATCAAAAGAAAAAAAATGAATACTTATTTCAAGAAATTTATCGGAAACCTAAAATTCTCAAGTACTACTCGCTTTCTTGTCTAATATTAGAGATGGATAAAGTAATGCAGAAAACATGATTCCGTTTATAAGAAGCCAAAACGGTTTTTCTCCTTTAGTCTCACAATATTGAGATGAAACGGTGAAAATATTTAGTAATGTTGATGCTTATATAATGGAAGAATCTTCACGAAAAGTTTTATACTCTTGTCGGATCAATTAGGTAAAACCGATGAAAATAGAAACCCAACTGAGTAGAATGTAAAGTAAATGTCTAATCATAAATAAAGTTCTTACTTCATCATCTTTAATATTATTCTTGAGTAGTTGCTTGTATAACTTCTGTCACTAGTTCAGGCACACAACTGACATATTTATGCCAACCATCGGTTGTTGTAACAGCCTTCAAATTATTAACAATAAATTGAATAACTTTCTGTTTTAAATCTTTTGAATGATGTTGATCCGATAATAATAGAATTTCAGCACCATTATCAATCGATATTGAACTCATTAAGGCCATTTCCGCTTGTAATCTCAAATCGTCTAATTGATATTTATCGGCACAACGATATAATTCAACAGTTGATGATTTAATATCATTTACTTTACCCGTATAAATATATTCTAACATTGATTTTATTGTTTCCGGTTTTAAATCATTTATTTCAATTGTATTCGTATTATTTTCCAATGTTTTACCAGAAAACATGGCGGCAAATACAGCCGAACGTGCTGATAATATTAATTTATGAGCATTATATTGTACAATATGAGATTTAACAGAATGATGACCATTTAATCCGGAATAGTCTGATGAAGTCGTATTAGTGTATGATGGATCATTATTGTTATTATCTATATCCAAATTAACGGGAAATGATTTAACTATAACATTTATTTTAACATCACTTAAATTTGACGTATTTAATAATTGTGAAAAATCTCTTACTAAACCTTCAAGTCCTTTTGTTGTAAAATTAATTGTTTCACATTCATCAAATTCTTGATATTTTGTTTCTTCAGTAATAGCGTCATCCATTATCGTTATTCGAACATAAATTTTTAATTTATCATCATCTAACGTATCATTTTCAAGTAATGTTAATGTATCATATTTCACATAGTTAATAAATCCACGAGTATTTCCTAGGAAAAAAAATATATACAATGTTCACATGATGACTTTATTCACAAAGAGACAAGTGTTTATGATTAAAAAAGAAGATAATAAACTTTTTTTACCTGATTTATAAACACTAAACTGGGCATCTTTTCTTATTTCTGTTAATTCACATTTTCGATTTACCAATGAATATTCAGCTTTTGCTTTAATATCTTTTTCACCTTTAATATATTCTAAAAATATTGACATATAATTACTACTAGCACCATAATTTCCTTTTGGATAACACACTAAACGCCATTGTGTTGATACACTAAGACCACTAACAGGTGAAAATGATGAACTTGATAAACAAATAATTGGTTCTGGATCTTCAAGATATGTACTAAAATTTTCTACAATCCACATATGTGAAAATGTATGTAATGTTCGTTTTGTACAGCATACACTATCTAAACTATAATCATTACAAATATTGGTCGCTAACGATAATTGTGAACTCGATTTTGTCGGATTATACATGCTAAAATAGAAATAAATAGAATTGAATATTTAAAATAAAAATCATAATTTATTTTCTTAAAGGACATTATAATAAATCTATTTCATCTACTATCCTCCTCTTACTTGCTTTTTTTATTAATATCTTTCATATGTGTCATATCGTTTTTATATACTCTCTAATTGGAATTTTTATACAATTAATAATTATTAATTATTATTGTTAAACATTTAGTGCTATTATCAACTAAACTTTTCTCTATGTCTAGAACTATATCTCTATTCGTCGGTCGAGTGAACGCATCATTCTCTTCATATGAAACCATACACGTACACACTGTATGACTATACTATATCGTTTTGTATCATGTCTCATTTTTTGCGACATATTTAATTCATACATTTTTCTTTTCCTATTTAGTTCTCTTCTGTTGATGCTTTTGAACGCACTCTCAAAAGAAAAAGACCTTTTATGTCAATTTTTTTTCTTTCAATAGGAAGATGACACTGATGATAAGAATGGGACAAGTAATTGAACTATACTCATCATTTCATCATTTATCTTTAACATCTTTTCGTTTTTTTTTTTGTGTGTGTGTGTGTATGTTTAGTACAGACTCTAATATAATAGAAATGTCTCAATTGTCAAAATTGCATAAGATTAAATTAGTGCACAACATGATATCAGAACAAGGTTTTTTTTTAAACAGATGTTTTGACATAGCCACATACCGCGGATGAATATATGGAGGTCTATATCGAAGCAGTTTCTTATTCTAATATTTTAGTTCTTTTAAGTTAGCTGTTCGTATAATCATGTCTAGTTATTGATAATGGAAGACTTTTCTAGATAAATAAAGCAAGAATATGGTTTATAACATATTACTGTCTTATTTATGATCTCGATAAACTTCTCATGTTTGTTGTCTGTTTTTAATGAGTATGATGGTGCAATTCTAACAAAAAATCAATATGATTACAACATAAAAAAGCGGTTATAAGCAGAGAAAACAAACAAATAAGACATACTCTTGTACAAAAAGTTGATTTGCGAGTATCAGTAAATCTATATTGAAGTTTACTAAGTGGCCATGCGATCTCTACTATCAAAAAAAAACATCTTCATATATATTCTGAGTGCAAAATTAGAAGTGTATTATTTATCTCTTTTGTTTATTCTTCTGTTAATCCACATGTAATAATAAAATACAACATGTTAGAGAGCTACAAAAGTTTATTAGCAAACTTCTTTCATAAAATCGGTATGCAAACTCATACTCAAAATAAAAAAAAAACTATAATCTTATTCGAAAAATTTTCAGTATAAAGCGATAAAAAATAAAATGTATACAATGATAACATAAAAGGAAAAAAATGTATTCAAATTTTTTTGCTTACGTTCGTCTAATTGAATTATTTCTTATCATTCCTTGTTGATCGTATGTTATTTCTGGCAAATCGTCCACTATATAATCACTGTTAGTTGCATTATTTGTAAATTCTTCATTCTTCATATTCTCTTTAAATTTCTTTTAATAAACAAAAAAAGAACGCCAACACAATATACAATTGACGAGTTGAACTATTTAAAAATTATTAGACTTTTATTATCTCAATAGAAGAAACAAAAACAGAATTCAAATTTTGTCTAGTATTCATTCCCATGATCTTATAAGAGTTCATATTTATCCATTTGAGGTTTCTTGTTCTCACTTTTGAAAGTGAACATTCAAGTTGTTTTTCTTGTCCATTAACAATGATGAGATATTTTACTACTGCTCATAATTATTATCGTATCAGTTCTTTATCAGGAAAAAAAACTTACGATTTTTTTTTTTTTTTTTTCTATTGTGTATAGATAAATGTAAATGTACAATATCTTAGATATTTATTTTCTTCATGCACAAGAAACAGGTGTTTATATCAAGAGAATATTAATAATCATAATAATGATAACAACTGAGTTGAAAAGCTTCGTCAACTCAAATGATTACGTATCAATTATTTGGATAAAAAATAAAATAAAAATCCTTTCTTCTCTCTTTTTCTTTTTATTTGCTGTTTTTTTCTGGCGTCTAGTATGTACGTATGTATACTTATATATTACTTAAGGGATCTCATGATCTACACTTATTATTTATGTTATTTTATCTTTCTGTTTATCGACATGTCTTTTTGTCTATCTGTTTGCTTTTGCTTATTTTTCTTTTCTTCATCATACATTCCTTTCTTATTAATAATATAAATTTAGCTATGATGTATTTATTTAATTCACTTTTTTTTTCATGCATTTCTCTTTTTTTTATGTCAAAAAAAAAAAATTTAATTAAACTCATTGACGCAGCAGCTGATCACATATGGGGAGATAGAGAGAAGAGACAAAAGATTTTTTTTTTTTTCATTATAATCGTGCAACAAACAATATCTAGGTATTTAAACAGAGACAAAGAAACGTGTGATAAATTGTAAAAGAAAATCGGTCGTTTACCAAGCACGAGTGTCAGAACACAATATATTTGTGGCAGCAGTTGTTCAGATAAAAAAAAATTATGTTTCTCATCAATATACAAATGTTTCTATTTTGTATTATCAATTACATACATAAGTGCACTCACATACCAGATATGGTATGGAAAAAAGACTCGCCACACCTGTAGAGAAGGATATTGTCTTTTTAGACTCAGTATGTCAAATAAGCCTTGATATGTGTCGCGTGTGTGAAAATAACAATTAATAACGTAGAAAAGAAAAACAGAAAAAAAAGAAACACCGTTCATTCAATGTGAACAAGAATATAAAACTTTGTTTGTCAAAAACCTTCTGATCAAGTGGATCGTAACATGAATAAGTTAAGGTGTGGATAGATTAACCGTAATAATTGAAAAAGTGTTCATCCTTGAAAGTCTTTAATAAAGATTTTTCTTTTTTTTACTATTAAAAGGAGTTAAAATTGACTTTCACACTAATTCTGTCATAAAATTTTTTTATCCCCAGACCTTTACGATGTCTGTACGAATATTATTTGATATTTTCACTTTATTTTAGTCCTCAGATCTAACAATACTAACTAATTTTTCAAAACTTTTGTCGTGAGATAATTTTATTGAAATTCAAAATCGTATGTCATAAGAATTAAAAAATTCTATGTAATATACATGATACACTGATTTTTTCAGAGTTTATCTGTAAAAAATTAAAAAATGAGATTTATATTAATATATCAATTTACTTTGTCGTCATTATATACGTAAAAATCTAAATATAATGGTTCTAGCCGAACATATCCTAGCTGAATGAATAGAAAGAAAAGTAAACACTCGACAAGTTTAATAAAAAAATCTTACAATGATATTTATTTAAAAGTGTAGCAAATTATTAATAATAACAACAACAGTAATAACACTGAGTAGTTTTTTTGATATTTGTTGACGATTTATTATATACTTACGAATTCTTTAAACAATATAAAACGAACGTCTACTATATATATATATATATATATATATCTCGATGGTTGTTCAACGTGCGATCTTGCGTGAAATTTTTTCTTTGTTGGTTCACGTTTTATATACTAAGAGAGGAAAAGGAAAAACTTCTTTTTTTTTCTTCAAATTACCTTTCAACAACATACAGCAGCTGATTAATTTTTGTTCTTTCTCTATCTAGTGGATTTTTTGTACTCTACTCTCTATGATCTTTTCCTTTATAGTTAATTCTTTCTTCTTTCTTTTTCATTTCCTTTTGTCTGTCTGCTGCGTGTTGATGAGACACAGGGTAAATACTAGTAATTGTCTACATAAAAGAAACAACAAAAGGTGTATTAGTTCTTCATTGTTGTCAAAAACAAACTCCTACACAAAATATACATCTATTATGTAACGTGATTAGTCGTGAAAACATACTTGTTGTGTGATATACACATATATATATATATATATATTTATATGATTCGAATTTATAAAAAGTATTAACACATTTTTGAGAATTCTTCAACTTTCTAGCTATCACAACACTTCATACAATTTAAGTGGTATGATAAAGTATATATAAAGAATTATAGCTTTTGACCTAACATCATATTTTATAAAGAATACGCAGACATATTTAAAAATATTTTATTTTTTTATAAAGAAATTTAACTTTTTCAAACAATTTTTCTTGTTTTCTTATATTCTGTGTTTCTCAATCTATCTTCATTTTTGTTACAAATTAGAGTTATCAAGGTTTAAAAGTGCGTATATCTCTGATGTCTATAGTGAATATAATCAAGTTCTAAGGTAGTGTATTAAATAATGCCAGATGTTATAATTAAAGCATTCTTTCTCACTCTCTGTATATACATATGCATCTATATGGTTGTGTATTTTCGTGTCTACTGATAACAAATAAGTTATGTAATAACATCTACCTTATTCTTGACATTGTGTTGTTCACTGATTATCCAAATTGAGAATGAAATAAAAATAAACTAAACAGAATGATTATTGATATAATTATGCTAAATACATAAATGATATAAAATGGAGAATAATGGAATATAGGTTTTTTTTATACTATAAACACTATATTGCACACTCTTCGATATGTTCTGTTTTGTCTTGAGAAAAAAGTATAACAAAAAATATGACGTTAGGACACGATAAAAAAAAAAATAGATGAATTTTCTCGTCTCTTCGTTACTACTAATACTACATTTTTTTATTCGAGTTATGATCATTTATTTCAACTTATTAGTATCATCAAAAACACGTTTAACATTCAAGGTTTTGCTTTATAATAAATTGTATAGATGCATTCTATAGGGTCACATATAACGAAAACCTAGAATCTATATGTTATCTGTGATCTTTTCCCTTTGTTGACCTTTTTGATAACATGATGTGTTATAACCTATTTGATGCCAACAAGGCAACCCATGAACAATTTATTTACTGGATCCATCTTGCGAGAGTAGTCAGTCAATAAGAGATAAACCATCTTTCGACAGTTTTTCATGACCTATTGTTATTTCACTTTGAAGATTTTTACTCTATTTCCTTAATAAACGAGGTTTTTTATCTTGCGAATTATATTTTTTCCCTGTAAAAACGAATGTACATGAAATAACTAAAAATCATGCATTTTTTTTTCGTGTACAGCGTCCTTTATGTCAATCGTATAACATAATCAATCAAATTGTATTCTAAGTAAAAATTTTATAAGTACAAAATATGAGTGGAAAATTAAGAAGAAACAAATATTTTATGGACCAGATCAATGTACATCAATCATTGTAATAATGCCATCATACTCATGGCTAATATGGGCATTTTTGATAAAGATTCTGAATCTGATATCTGATCAGATGATGCTCAGTACAAAAGCTTTTTTTTACGTTGTTGCGACTGATTTTTGCCGTGTAAGATTAATATCTTTTCTATTAGTTGTAAAAATTTATAAACAATAATCATTCCATTTGCTCTACTAAACAGATGTATCAAAAATTATTGATTAGAACTTTGGCACTATGCATCTCGAGATATAGTCTCCACTACCCGACTCTAGGCGTAAGATATAAGATATCAAATTCAGAATCTCTATCAAAAACGAGATAAAAAAACAGAGAATACTTCAGAACCTTCGCATGTAAGAGTAATACTAATGGAATACAACATTACACACTAATTTTGAATCTCTCTTATTACCAGATGTTGATTTTTCAAATTTTCATAAAATTTTTATTTTTATCATATATCAAATGCATTAACGCTTTCGAAAAAATGATTTTTTTTAAATCTAAACTGGAGATCGGTAGGATAAAGCTTTGTGCACAAAAATAGACAATGAAAAACTGTACAAAGTGGTGTATAACTCGTGTTCAACAACCAGTTAAGACGTAGAGAAAAGAATTACCTAAGTACTAGCAAAAGTATAAATGTCAAAAGAACTTTTCTCAAAAGTAATAATCACAACAAATTATTGAAATAATTTTGGTAATATTGGTGTATTTTGTCTTTGTGCTTAATTTAAACTTGAACCTAAAGATAACATAGAACTAAGGTACAGGGGATGAATCTAAAAATCTCTACATACTTATTTCATACGATGATAACACCATTACTGTTGCTGCATTTGATAACTGATCAGCTTCTGCCATTCTGTGTTGAATTCATCATTCAATAAATATAATCTTATACATGTGAAGTTTTTAAGGCTGGGCTAGACTACGAAATGTGCACAAACATTTTCTCCAAAAACTCTGATTGATAGTAAACTTAATCGGGCTCAGATTTCGCATAAAATTATCCTTCCACCTTTCCAAAAGTTCTTAGAAAATCTAATCTTTCAATCATGATTTTATTACCCGAGAATAGATAGACGAAATAATAAGCAGATTATGTTAGTCGAAATTTCTGTTGTGCTTATATGTTGTTTCTTGTTCAAGAAAAATTTCGGATATAATTCGAATGAAAAAAGAGCATTGGACCAAATACTTAAAAAAAGTCTTCTGTTGCCTTGGTTATTAGATAAAATTATTTATATACAAAATAGAGTAGCAACAAACTCAATGCGTAATTTTAGATTTGGGCTAAATCTATATTATTTATAGGATTTGGTTTTGTAATGTAAATATCTTATCATAATCCAGTTGTATCTGTTTCATCATGTTAGTCCTATACTTAAAGGGTTGTATTATTTTTCTTGTCAGAGTTTATCTCGACTTCGTTTTTTAATCCGACTTTTTCTAAAGATTTTATTATGCTACTATAGTAACGGGTGGCCCCAAAAAGAATTATAGTGTAATAACCATAGACTGAAACATCAACAGTATAAGCAACAATCCTTTCCTCCAATAATGAAAAGAGAGATTGAAAGATTTTGAAACGATTAAGAAATACATCACCTGATCCTGATAATATACATAATCGTTGTCTTAAAAATTATACGCAACTATTGGTTCAACATCTTCTATGTTTATTCAACAGCAGTATGAAACTGAGATATTTGCCAGAATCATGGCGAACAGCCCACATCATCCTGCTACGAAAACAAGATAAAACACCCAACCAACCATCAAGTTACCGGCCGATCAGTTTACTAAGCTGTATTGGTAAATTACTTGAAAGTATAGTCAAATGCCGCCTAGAACAATTTCTAAACGAAAACAATATCTTGCCGTAGTACCATATCGGATTTAGAAACTCTAAAGGTACCATCAACAACACCCTTAGACTAGAAAGTTACTCCAGAAAGAATTTAGATGCAAACAGACATGTAGGCGCAATATTTTTTGATGTGAAACAGACATTCGATTCAGTATGGATAGACGGTCTCATTTACAAGCTAGCAAACTTAAAAATACCAACATATTTATTCCTCTGGATAATCGAATTTCTTCATCATCGAATAGCTCACATAGAACTAGAAAATATTTTGTCTAGAAAGTTCGTTCTCAAAAGCGGTACACCCCAAGGTTCTTCACTGAGTCCTCTTCTCTACATCACGTACACGGCGAATTCGGTGAACAGTGCACCACAACAGACAGAGAAAGGTTTGTTCGTGGATGACACGTCCTTCTAGACTGCCAGCAACAGCCCTATCAACTTACAAAAATGCCTACAGGAGTCAATAGACGAATTTCAAAAATGGTGTTACTGGTGGAAACTGGACCTTCAACCGACAAAAACAGAGTTTATCCACTTTACTCGTCGCCCACGAAAATATAAAAATAAAATTCAGCTAAAAATTGGCAACGCCACAGTCACAGCTCTAACAAAAGTCATATATCTCGGCGTAATTTTTGATCAACAACTGGAATGGAATCATCATGTGCAACATGTAAAAGAAAAAAGCACCAACAGACTTAGCTTGGTACGATTCCTAGTTAAATCCATATCAGATGTCAACAGGAGAATTATTTTGAATTTATACAAAGGTTTAATACGGTCCATAATCTCCTATAGTACACCGATTATCCTTACCGTAGAAGACAAACACCTTGCAAACCATACAAAATAAATCTATAAGGACAGTACTTTCACTACCCTGCTACACTTCTACTACTTACATACACCAAGTTGCCAAAATCCTTTATTTTAGAGAATTTTGTGAGAAACTAACCAGAAATGCACTACGAAGAGCAAGAGTTAATCAAGAAAATCTACTAGCAAAATTATTAGAAGAAGTCATAGAAACTTCTACCGCTCAGACTATGATACAATAAATATTAAAACTATGTACTTTGAAAGAATGATGTAAAAATTAGTTGTTGTTTTTTTCGGGCAAAAGACTACGTGTCAGCGCTCTTTTTGCCTCTAGGTTTTTTACATAAAGCAGATGATTCCTTTCGTTAGTATTTTCAAATTTTCTCCTCTTTCTTGTAATTAATCAAGCAAATTTGTTTACTAAAGTATAGCGCGTTCAGTTCTCTACAAAATATGTATTAACTGTTTTATTGCAAAATCCGAAGGTATTTTCTCATAGAGAGCTACATTTTTTCGAATATTTTCACAAGCATCAGAGCGCGATCTGAATATACTTTGTGTAGTTTCATGTGTGCTCTCTCTTTCATGGCATGCAACAAAATTCGTTCTGAGTGAAAATATCCGACGCAAAGATCGACTTATCGGAAACCCGGCGAAAACAGCAAATGATTTTGGCCTTATCTACACGTGATGATAACAAAGGAAATTTTTTTCAAACTTATCGATTCCACAATATAGACTAATCATTGGTCTTCAAAATGATAAAAAGTTCAATCTGAAAGGATTAAATTTGACTAGACTATACTTGTTTTATCTAATGATTCCTGGTCAAAAGTCAGCAATTTTAGAAAATTTGCAAGAAAAAATCATTACGATTACGGCCTCAGTTCTAACTGTACAAAATTTTTAATCATAGGTGGAAGCTGCAGCTTTCTACAAACGTTTAGCGAATAAAACTTAAAAGGTGGTTGTTTAACTTATTTTTTCTGAATTTTCGTACTTCAAAAGACTTTTTATCTTATTTTCCACCTTCGGATTTTGCAATAAAACAGTCAATACATATTTAGTAGAGAATTCAACGCGCTGTATTTTAGTAAACAAATTTGCTCGATTAATTATAAGAAAGAGGAGAAAATGTGAAAATACTAACACAATAATCCTTTTTGGACCAACCGTTAGTAGCATTGGTAAAAACTTGCTGTTGCAGTGATTAATAATACAGTATAATACAACTGAAATTTTGGGCACAAAATGCACATCACTACGAGATTCATCGTGGTTGAAAATCTATGTTTTCATGTATTTTCAAGGTTCCCAGAACTAAAGAACAGATGTTTAGGTAGGTCCTAGCAAAATTCAGCCCCGACCCGATCCATGGCAGCTAAGGTCTTCGGACTTACGCCAATCGATAGGACACTTTGGAGGATTTAGACACGTGAAAAGAATGGTACGTCTCTATAAAAATGTTTTGAGCAGCGATCTCGTTTTTCAAAGACTTGGAAGGTACACCATCTAAAATCGACCTTAAAAGTACGTCTGGTCCAGAGAAGATGCGCTCAGATCTTGGCTATCGAATGGTGAAAACTGCAAACCTCTATCTCTCAACGTTCAAGCGTTCTTTAAAAAACAAACGGTGACCTTGCTTTTTTGGACGGACAGTACCATATTACTGTAGTTATCTCATGAATTTGGCCTATGAAAATTTTAATTTTTTATATTTCTAGTTTGGTTTATTGTTGTTATACTTTTTTAATTATAATTTTAGTAAAAGCTTTTAAAATTTTTGTTATGTTATTGTTATGTAAGAGCGTATCATTCGATGAAAATTACACATACGCTTTTCCGAATCTTGAAACGAACATCCAGAATTTTCTATATAACAGATGAACCATAAAGAATTACAGTTTCCTGTTTTACCATACGAAGGCCACCAATTTCAGCTTTAATCTTTACAATATTTTAACCCAAAACACCACTCAGAACCCAGCATTCTTTATGTTCTACCCGTTATATTTCTACAGATTTATTTTTCATATGATGTTCTAACTATAATAAGATGGGTTCCTTTTGATTAAACGACTCTTAGAAAAGTATTTAATTTGCGACTAGTAGCACATTCGTTTGAAGAGCATATCGCTTGATAGTAATTCTCAAAAAACAAAATTGTTTTAGCCTTTTAGTAGAACTAGAATATTGTGTTGGTATCATGCGTACATCTGTTGTTCTTTTACTTCACTGCTTGCTTGTTATACAACTTAGCTGACGTACAGTAATCAACGCAGTAGTACAATCTAATTGTCTAGCTAACATGAACAATGAAAAGAAACGTTCGTCCACTCCCTATACATCTGAATCAGAAGAAGGATAACAATATAGTTTTACTCCAGCTGTATACAAATATCGCGTGAAAAAAACACATGGCTATAGTCAAAGTAGAATGATGATATTCGTGCATGTCAGTCGGTCATTTTTTCTTAAAAAACAAAACAAACTCCTTCCTTCTTTTTCGTTTGTGACCTCAACTATGTACAAAGCGTCACTAAAAAAGTTTCCTCTGTATTTATTTATATTTATTATTATTATTTAAAATTTCAAAACAAATGATTAAAACAGCATGTATACTGTAGATATTATTTAAGAAGTCACACTCTGTCAAAATCTCAGTTTCATATTATTCCTTGTCTCGATGTTAGAATCTAAAATGTCACATGAAATGATAATATTCTTTTTTTGAAGAAACAGAAAAAGTGTTGTAGATCAGACTATAAATGAGTTTAAAAAGGCATCAACTGGCTACATCAATTTTCTCTGCAAGAATTCTAATAGTCATATGTATGATGTTCAAAATTTCCAACGACTATAAGGTCCCGGAAATGCGAACTTGCAGCAGAATTTTTTTTTCGTTTTTTTATACATGGTTTGATAGTGTGCATCGAGCTGAGTAAGATCAAGCTGGTTTTTAATTTTTAAAAAATGTTTTTAAGGAAGAAAAATTAGAAAAACTTAAAGGATCTAAAATTTCGAAAAACCCTTCAGCTTCAAAACAAGTCACCTTCTTTCGTTTTCGTTCTTCTAACTTTCTGAAAGTATTTTTTTCAGATTCAGCATTTAAAATTGAGTATGAGAATGATGTCTGATCGAGGTTGAATTCAAAGGTCTATTGAGTATGGACGTCCTCTGGAAAAGGTTCATAAACAATTTTGCAAACCTATCTATTTTTTTTTGTGAAGAGATGAAGCCGATTTTTTTATTTCATTAGAACCGCCGTTACACGAGCTTTAAAAGTACGCATTACGTTTTCTTTAAATTTGCTTCGTTGCCAGGAAAACTCGATTTTTCTAATCAATGAAGAAAATTTCGGAAATACATTCGTATTTTGAGATTTTAATCATCAAATATCAATTTTTTTGCAAACTAATGTCATATTTCAAATCATCATAAAAACAGCTATCATTTTTTCTTCTAGAAATGTTGAATGATATCATTGGCGTCTATAGTAAAGTTGGACAAAGTGGTCGACAGGATGACGATGTTTACGATCGATTTAGTCATCGTTGGACAATTATCATTTTGGCTGTTTTTATTATAGCTATTAGTGCCAAACAATTTGTAGGTACGTCTTCTCTTGATAAGCGCTTTTTTTTTTGAAAGTGAAGATGGAGTAAATTTTTATAAGAGTTTTGTGTATTTATTTAGGTACTCCAATTGAATGTATACCTCCAGCTGAATTTGGTGAAGAGCATAAAGCCTATGTAGAAAATTTTTGTTGGATTCATTATACGTATTCAGGTAGGCTCATAGTAGCTCTCAAATAGTGACGCTAAAAATTTATTCTTTCATCTATATAGTTGACGATAATACGCCGTTAACAAGACAAATGGTTCGTGGCGCAAATGGCTCTCATAAAACACCGTATTACATTTGGATACCATATATATGTCTCGCTGCTTGTTTGACAACATGGATACCAGCATGGTTTTGGCACATTGTTGGACATCATGCAACATTTGATATACCGGCTGTAATTAATCAATTAGCTAAAATGAAACTAACGAATCCTGACGACCGTATTGAAAATTTAACAATTATCGCTAAACATTATGAAAAAGCGGCATCGTATGCTAAATCAACCAATCGTTCATCACGGAATATATTTCGTAAATTTATTAGTTATTCAATGTTTTTTGCTGGTGGCGGTGCATTAACGGGAATTTATTTTTTTGTAAAGTTATTATACCTAATAAATGCCGTTGGACAATTTTTTTTGATAAATTATTTTTTCAAAATTGATTATTGGTATTACGGTCAACGAATATTATACGGATTATTTAGTGGACGCGATTGGGTGGAAAATAAACAATTTTTTCCAAGAATTGTCTATTGTGATTTTGCTATTCGTTATCTTGGTGATAATAATCTAAATTATACGGTATGTTATCAACATAGTTGTTTATACTAAAAATAAATTGTTGACATTTATCATTTTTATTTAGGTCCAGTGTACATTGCCAGTTAATTTATACAATGAGAGAATATTTGCATTCTATTGGTTTTGGCTAATATTTCTTACTTTGATTACAATTTATGGTATTACTGTTTGGCTAATGCAGATGAGTTATCGAGGACGACGAAGTTTTTTGAAAAAACATTTACGTATTAATAAACAGATTTGTATGAAATTGGATGAATGTAATTTATTTAATGCTTTTGGTGAAAGATATTTGGGTGGTGATGGTATTTTATTTTTACGCTTAGTAGCAAAAAATACAAGTCCAGTTATAGGCGGTAAGTTCATGGATACACTAATTTATCGAAAATATTTTGAAAACTATTCTTTCTTCTAGGTGAACTACTGGGTATTCTGTGGGAACGATATCAAGCACGTCGTAATGCTACAGTCGCTTTAGGTATAAAAATGGGAAATATGAAGAGTAGCAATGGTGATTCATCATTCGGAGATGAAAAACCGCCACCATTCGATGCGAGTACATTAACATACAATCAACAACCGAAAAAAAACTGAAAATATATACATATATCTTTTTAGTGTTGAACTTTACTCTCTGGCACTGTTTTATACGATATGCTTCCTCCCCCGTCAGTTTGATTTTTTTCTAACGAGGTTTTCTCTACTCTATTTGTTATTGTGTTGTCTATCAACGTTCACAACAATGAGAAAACTTTATAGCTTCACTATTGACAGTTACACTTCTCTTTTTTTGCTTTTTGTTTTGTGCTTTTAATATGTAAAAAATTGGGTGATTTCTTTTTCAGTTTCTATTTCGTAGTATATTTGTAATAAAAATAATGCATAGTGCGAACATCTATTTCATTGCGTCAAATAGAAGACGTTAGGAACATATTTTTGTGTTCTCTCGCTAATCTTTTATTTTTAACTTGGTAATTGATCTGGCTTTAGAGAAGTAATCAAAAATGATCAAACACGACTTTCGTTTTTCTATAAATTTTGTGCTTTATAAGATAAAAAGTCAGTTTACGAATCTGAAAAAAAACTGTTATGATTGCGGTTGTTTGTCTGTGAATGATCTCCGGCGTACTGCAAACGAGAAACAGGTGTCAGCAAAAAGTAGTTTTCTCGATTATTGCTCAAGTGGAGGAAAGTTCAGCAACTTCGTTTCAGTGGCGGATCCAGAAAAAATTTTCGGTGCTGCCGGATTTTGACAAAAGAGCAAGTTTAACAACTTTACTTAGGAGTTTCTAGACAACACTATTTTTACTTCTTTTACTTTATTACTATGTTGCACAAGAAGGAGAGTATAATAGTATGAAATCAAAAATTTCGGTGTTGGCGGCCGCCAGGACCGCAAGCATCTTAAATCCGCCACTACTTCGTTTCAACTGAAATTTTTTTCTACTGAGTGAAGAAGCTAAGTTTCTTTAAGGGTATCCTCCCTCCTCCTTCCTCTTTGTTGCAAAAACTTTTCATTCTGAGCCGAATGTAGCCCAATGTAGAGGAAAGTCTGGGCTATAAAATAAGACCACTCCCAACTCTCCATGACCTTTCTTGAAAAAGTTATGAAATTTTTAATCGTTTCCTTCGAAGCCTAAAAAATCCCAATGTTTTAGTGAATAAATTTTTCTCTCCTTTCCTATACATTCAAAATTTTTTCTGATTCATGGACGGATAAAGAAAGTTGCTCTTCAAAATGAGTCGTCTTGCAGGATTTTCCGATGAGTTTTCGTGACGATATAAGCATCACCACAAATACCCTGAATAACAGAGCCGTGTGTACAATATGTGTTTTTTTCACAATGCGTTTTTTCGATGGTCCGTTCAATCCAGTCACGTTACGACCCTTCGAAAAAATGGTCCGATCGAGCTTAAATTTTTACCACAGATACTTCAGACTAAATTTCAGGAGTAAAAATTTTTTTCAGCATTTTCGATTTCAACTTTCGATGTGAGAAGGTTGTTAAAATCAAAAACCGGTTTTCTATACAGGATTTTTATGATTTTTTGAATATCTCTAGAAGGAAAGTATATTTTTTGAAAAGAAAAATTTATTCCTGAGATAAGGTGTAAAGTATCTATGGTAAAATTTTGAGCTCGATTGGACCATTTTTTCGAGGAGTCGTAGTGTGACTGGATGAAAACTGGAATTTTCTAGAAAACCCATAGAAGAACATCTCAAAAAATTCTGGGGAAAAATACATCGATTTTCTTTTTCGATGTTCTATCTCTGCTATAAATTTAAACTCGATCGGAACATGTTTATATATACAACTGCTAAAAGTTTCCGCGTACTACGGCAGCACTTAATGGTTAAGATTTCTGATCTAGCTGGTTTCCTTGAAGATTTAGTATTTCACTATTTTTCATACTCTTTTTCAGCAGTACTTGAGATAAGCTAATGCTTTTCTGTTACCGCTCACTTCCTGGGCAAATTTCTGATTTATTTTCTAAAATAGTGCACATCTGTTTTATAAAAGTTGCAAAAGCATTGTTTAGACAAGTCATTCAGCCACCGAAAGCGGCATCCTAGGGAATGTACTCAAGTGTGAGTACTCAAAGTCGTACTCTGCTGAAAAATGTCCCGAGTACTCATGAGTACTTGCATTTTTTTACTCATTGAGTACTCACATGAGTACTCATGAGTGAGTAACGAGTACTGTGGGTACGACTTTGAGTATTCATGCTTGGGTATTGTTGAGTACTCATATAACTTTTGGCAAAATACTCATGAGTATTGTTCATCTGATATTTTCATATAGAGGAGTTATCTCAGGCAGCCAGAATAGGACTACAAGTCTAGTCATAGACAAGTCCTTCTCTGACTATATACAGAGAGACCAGTGAGAAAATAACAATATAAATATTCTGTGTTTCTTCACTAAATTCTACGTTCTTTATACAGTTTCAGTTTAGCAAATAAAACGGTGAATGAATATTTTCTGAGTACCCACATGAGTAACTGAGTACTCAATGAGTAACAATACTCAAAAATTGTTAGTAGAACTAATATGAGTACTCATGGACGAATTATGAGTAAAGTTGTACTCATCGTATGAGTAGTTTCACTAGGGAAAATTCTTTATGAGAAAATGTAAAAAAACCTTCATTGCAAGAAAACGGATAACAGCAAAAAATCCTCGTGAAGCCGACACTTTGTGGAAAACACTACAGAAAGCGGAATTTGTCTGCAAAATCCGAACCATCTGGCAACTCTGTTTATGACACTATACTGTAGCACTACCTATTACATTCTAAAGCGCTCATCGTTTATTGATAAGAGAGTAGGTGGCACCAGTTTCTTCTTAACGTAAAAAATGAGAAGTAGCAATGAGTAGAGAGAGTCAGGTAAGGAGAAAAAGAGAGGAAAATTATGAGAGTTATAAATGAATTCTTCAAAAAAAATCAATAACGTTATATTTCTTCTTCTCTCTTATATTATAATTGACTACTCCATAGAATATCTGAAAGGTATTTTACCATGTTTTTCAGACACATACATAACGCTTTTGTAAGAGTGTTAATGATTACTTAACGCTCATCTACGATTCGCTCGGTCCCTTGACTTAAGCTGCACTACGCTACACTCACGAGCACCTCAGTCTGTTACCCAACATTTTTATTTTACAAGTGGAAGCAAGCTCGTGCTTTCCTTTAGTCGTCACTCGCACCACAAAGTTGATGACCTTCACTCACCTCTCTAGAAGAATATTTTAGGCTTCCAGTACGCATCTGCCGATTACTTTCAATCGAATTCGACTACCCGAATCTTTACTGGATCCAGTAGCGCGAGAGTTTTCTGAAGATCTCTGGAAGATGACCAGATGTCCTACTGATCCTTGCCTGACGACACATCAGAACTTTCACTCACATTTTGATACACGGAGCAACTCAGAAATTGGTGGAATCTCAAGGGTTTTCCGAAAACAGTCAACCTTGTAGGACTACTGTTCATAGATGCTTAATGGTTGATTATCTCTTTCGGTGCAGCTTCTTTCATGTTACGTGGGCTCTAGCACTTTCCACTTGTATGAGTAAATTTCATTTTCAGCATATATCACACTGTATCCTGGCGCCTTATTAATTAACCTTTCTCGTTTAAGTTTGGTAAACTAAATATCTAGGATGATGTCTGCCTTTGCCGAAGTTGTCTTCTATCTACATATCTGCAAAATATTTAAAATTAAATTAGCGTTTACTGCTTCTCTCTTATGATTGGTCTATCCAACAAATATGTGACGGCCATTTTTCCATGTTTTATGATTTCTTTTCGGACCAGTGTTTCCTAACAATCGAAAAATGGATGGGATGAGTTTTTTCTTCTTTTTCCTCTCCTTATATACCAGTACAAAATAACACTTAAAATGAGCAGTCAAGAAATTCGCGAGAGTCTAATGTACGATTTTGTTGGGTTTTGTGTGCTGAGATTTATCGGTTGTTTATTGTTAGTCTAGCAAATGGAGTGACAAGCACACCCTGTCTTGACATGTATATTGGTTGGGGTAAATCTCAACCAGTACCATGATTTGCCAGGTAGTCAGCGAAAAAAGTCAGTGCTGCTATGGAAGAGAATTTTTTTTTTATTAATCATATATCCCAACTAGTCAGAATGAACTTCTAACGGAGAAACAAAGATTTTTTTGAAGACTTTCGGCAAATTCATCGCAGTTAAAGAAAAGATGGGATATAAATTAAATCTTCTGAAAATGCTTGTCAGCATTCTGGACAATTTTTTCATTCATGTTCTACCACATCTCTTTTGATTGTTTTGAAGAATATCATGTGGTGAAATTTATTTGTTTAAGAAAGTTCTCCACATCGAATATACCACTTTTGATTAAATTTTAGATGAAAGTCTAAACTGAAAAGTTAAATACTGAAAAGAAGTTTATAAAATGACTCAGCCAATTTATGATCCAAAGCAAGGTAATTTTGCGATACTTTTGTTTTTCTTTGTTCCATTGACACTGTTTCTCTGGGAATTTTTAATTTTAGGAGGTTTTCGAGTTTTTATCGGAAATTTAGGTGCTCGAACAAATGTCTCTGATCTTCAACGAGAATGCGAAAGATATGGTTCCCTTGTGGATTGTTGGGTTGCCAGGTTTGTTTTTTAATTTTTATTATAGCGTGTTTCATGAGCAAATCTATTTTTCTTAGACATCTTTTTTCTTCTAATTGAGTATTGGCTAATATATTCTCGTTGTCTAAATCAGAAATTTTTTACAACAGTAATTTGTTTTGAATGCTTTCAGTTGCTGGTCGGTCGAAAACAGCGAACATCATCTAACCTTCTTCTACTTCCTGTATACTAATCATCATCTGTGAGAGATTTAAGTTGTTTAGAAATATAATGTCGAGACCCTGCTTTTGATCTACTATATATCGTCGAAAATTTACAACAGCACACTTAAGCTTCTTGTCGGTCAGTTGTTGTTACCACCACGTCTTACAAAACGTCGAGAGTAAAATAATAGAAAACAGCAGACAACGACTTAAAAAAAAAGATGAACACGATCCTTTTGCTCTACGAATTTATATCTTGTCGAACACATCGGCGGGGAATATGTGTTCATGGATGACAAATTGTCGTACATTATGGTAAGAAGTACGTAATATCCCTTTCGAAATTCCGTAATTTCTATTTCTCTGCTTCGCTAGAAGAATGAGTTTAAACGTTTATAGTTTTGCATTTCTAAAAAAATAATTAACACAAATAATTAATTGTTCATTTTTGCTTTATAAATAAGTCTTTGAGAACAAGAGCTACAAATGTAACGAATGGGTTGTATGATATAAACTATTCTTTTATAAGTGAATAGTTTGCGAAAAAATAAAGTTTTTTACAAAGCTTAATTTTATTACTTTGGGACTACCACATTTTTATTGGTTTAAAGGCATAAAATTATACTTTTTTGTGCAATTCAATAATTTTATCCTTTATGAATATCTACTTTAGAAATCCGCCTGGTTTTGCTTTTGTATTATATAAATATGGTGAAGATGCTGATCAAGCCGTGAGATCAATGGACGGCAGGTTTGTCATTTCTAAAGCTCACGTTTATCCTTTTTGATTTGATTTTCTAATTACAGAATTGTATGTGGTCAAAGAGTACGTGTTGAACATGCAAAAGCAAGAGCTGTTAATTATCGCAATCCTCCATCGTATCAAGCTGGATACTATCGAAATGCCGATGAGTAAGTATTCGAAAATTTGTTGCAGTATTAAATGTTGCTCATTTATCAAATATTTGATCCTTTCAGTGAGTCACCGCGAGATTACGATTCGTATAGTGGTGGTGGTCGTCGTTCAAATCGAAATGACAATTATAATAATGATGTAGATAATTATCGCGATCGGGACAATGATGGTGATGACATGGATACAGATAAACGGCATAGGTAAATTCAATCAGCAAATTTTTCCTATGTATCTTTTTAATTTTTTTGATTTTAGACGTCGCGATCGTCAACATCGTTCATCGTCGAAACGATCAAGATCACGTGATAGGTATTTTAAGAACTTTTACACTAATATTTTTTTTTTTTGAGAAATACACGGGTATTATTGCATAAGATGGTTCAAATTTCCCTACGCAAATGACACTTTGATGATCTACTTCTCTCGACATCTCTCAATCTTCATTTAAGTATAACAAGCTAGAGTAAGATATTTTATTCTTTTTAAGGTCTAGTCGTCATCGTTCAAGTTCAAAAAGCAACAGTCGTGATAAAAAAAAGAAGTATGTTTGATCTACAAATCAAGTCATATTATACATTGAATTTTTTTTTAGAACACGACGTCGACGTCGTAAAGATAGTAGCCGTGAAAGTAGTCGCGATAGTCGTTCTAGTAGCAAATCAAAAACAAAACGAAAAGATCGGTTAGTGTGAAATAATTTTTTACATCACATTTCAATTCTAATTGTTCGTGTTTCTTTTTTTTCAGAAGTGAATCACACCATCGTAGTGATTCTGAACATTCAAAAGAACGAAAAACTGAGAAAAAAAGTCGAAATAATACAAATAAAAAACGTCGACATTCTAATAATGAAGATGAACATTCTCATGATTCAAAAGGAAAATCATCAACTTCAAAGTCTAAATCGCCTTCACCACGAGTGAGTGACGATGAAGAAAAGGAGGAAAATGAAAACAACGAAACAGATATGAAAGAAGAACGACGATCGAAAAAAAATAATAAAAAAAGTCAAATTAAAAAATCAATGAATGATGATGAACAAAGCGGTGATAATACAAGTGAACATGAAGAAGAGGAAGATGTTAACAAAAATGGTCAAAGAAACAATAAGAAACGTAAACCATCAACGAGTGATAATGATGAAACAACAAGTCATGGTGCTGAAGATGAAGAAGTTGAATCTGAACACCCGAATGAAGAAAGTATTGATCATGATGATTAAACGGTTAATTGGACCTCTGTTTGTTTCAGATTAGGATTCTTTTTTTTTCTTCTTATCTGCGTCATTTGATTTTTCTTTTGTTACCGTTTTATACAAAAACTGTACCTTTGACTTCTTAACAAGGAGATGTCTTTTATTTGTATATTGTATTCTATATGTACGTATGTGTATATAATAACAGCTATCGTTGTCAATCACGATATGTAGTGTCCTTTGATTTTTTTGCCCAATAATGTGTGTTTGTTTTTTGTGATTGTTATTAGTATTTCGTCTCCTAATATGTCATCAAGTCGTTTAATATTGGCATTTTTTTGTTCATTTTGAATGTCAGCACGTTAGATGGTTCTGTTAACAATAAAAGACATAAAATTTCGAATCGCACATAGCGAGAGATTGTCGGTTATTTGTAGTGAATATCAAGAGGCGAGGAAAAAATCGTTAATTCCTTTCAGCTGAAGATTTTCATTCGGTGAAGGAAATGTTAATCTAAATTCTACAAAAGTTCTAAAACTTTTAGTCATTATTTTTACACTATTGCCTCTTCTTCGATCTAATAGTAATGTGACTGATAATATAGATTTTAGATGACTGCACCTCTGTCGTTAGAAACATTTCAGTCCATGTTTAATGGAAATACAAAAAATAAAAGTTATAGTGCTCACAACGGAAAAGTTCATTCAATCGCGTGGAATGTAGATGGTAGCCGATTGGGGAGTGGTTCTGTTGACAAAAGCGTATGCATATTTGCTTATGATAAAGGCTCAATGGTATGAATAGAAAATAAGAATTAGTTTATGTCGTGCGGTAATAATTTATCATATATATTTGTGTAAAGATAAAGGAACGCTTCTATCGTGAACATACAGAAGAAGTTGATCAATTATCATGGCATCCAATTTTACCTTTTGAATTAGCAACAGCCAGCGGTGATAGATTAGTGAAAATATTTGATACAAGAACAGATAGATCGATAAGTACAATTGAAACAAAAGGTGAAAATATAAATATTGCATGGTCACCAGATGGAAACATGTTATCAGTGGGAAACAAAGATGATTTGATTACATTTATAGATACGAGAACGTCAAAGTAAGGATAAAACAAACAAAAAGAATTTATTTTTTTTAAGTCTTTTTCAAGAAAGAAAAAGCATTTTGAAAGAATTGATTAATTTAAGTTAGAGTGTACAAAATCCAATCTGTTTCTTTTTTTAGGATTATTCGTGAAGAACAATTTAAATATGAAGTCAATGAAATATCATGGGATCGTACAGGTGATTTATTTGCTGTTACTACTGGAAATGGTACAGTTGTTTTTTTTGAGTACGTATAAATCATCCATTATACTATATATATGCATTTGCAGAATTTATGGATATTTTATAGTGCACACTGTCTCTCAAAAGACAAGCAATTGGAAGAGATACATTCATTGAGTGCTCATACGGGCAACTGCATTTGCTTGGAGTTTGATGTTAGTGGAAAGTATTTTGCTGTTGGTGCAGCTGATGCGTCAGCGTCAATCTGGGATTGTGAGCAACTCGTATGTTTGACCGTTTTAACAAGGTATGTTTTAGTATAGTTAACAAATCAGTTTATATCTTTCGTTTTACTTTAGACTTGAATGGGCAGTAAGAAGTCTGAGTTTTGGTTGCAATTCACAATTGTTAGCATTAGCATCAGAAGACACCTATATTGAAATTGCACACGTTGAAACAGGTATGATATGTTTGAGTACTTAGCTCCTATTGTATTTCTATTACGATATTCTTTTAGGTGAACGTGTTTTAGCTTTGAAATGTGAAGCTCAAACATTTGCTGTTTCTTGGCATCCAAAAGCTAATGTATGAAAAACCCTGCGTTTACGTATAATCCTATCATAATACTATCATTTTAGGTTCTTGCTTATGTCACTGATGATGACCGAGATGCGGGAACTGTTAGACTTTTTGGATTAATTGATTGAACTTTGTTTGCATGAGATAGTCTGTGAATGTACTGTTCTTTTTTTGTAAATTTTTGTTATTTTTAATAGTAAGAAATATAATGTTGAGAACCTTCTTTTGATCTACTATATATCGTCGAAAATTTACAACAGCACACTTAAGCTTCTTGTCGGTCAGTTGTTGTTACCACCACGTCTTACAAAACGTCGAGAGTAAAATAATAGAAAACAGCAGACAACGACTTAAAAAAAAAGATGAACACGATCCTTTTGCTCTACGAATTTATATCTTGTCGAACACATCGGCGGGGAATATGTGTTCATGGATGACAAATTGTCGTACATTATGGTAAGAAGTACGTAATATCCCTTTCGAAATTCTGTAATTTCTATTTTCTATATAATATATAAAATCTCTGAGGATTTTATATACGGACTTTTCGAAAATCAAAAGGTCGGATTATTTTACAAATAAATTATTGAAAAGTAATAGAAAAACAATAATCTGCCCCATCGCTGTGTTATTTTAAACATACCTTGGAGACTAATAGTCATTAGTCATCGAACGGTGACTGCAAGAGTTTTTTCAGAAAACGATACCTGTAAAGTAAACAACGTTTCACAAATGTTCAGCAATCTCATTTACAATGGCTAACATTTGTGATATTACACTGTTTTAAATTCATACCTGTGGCTCTTATTACTGCCTCTTAAATTGAAACTGATCTGTGATTAAAGAAAACATTCGTTAGTTTTTCATTTGCTCCTTCGCTGAGGCATTATTTTCCTTTGCTTCTTCTAAAGCTGTTTAGTCGTTTCATTATTCAGATCGTTTACCTAGTGTACCTCAGCTTTGAAGCAGCAAAGACTCGAAGAATACGTAGGTTCTTTCGCCGAGGAATAATACATTTTGAAAATGCTACGCAGTATTTCGATTAGAAAAACGCTTCAAGTAGAGGTACTTACAAAAATGTGCTGAGAAACAATAGTTTTTAAAGTGCACCTGAAAAGAACGGTTCCTATTTTTCACGCTTCTTTTTTTGAATGCTTTTAAAAATATTCCAAGGAAGAACACGTTTTGAAAGTGCTCCTCACAGTAGCATTTTGAATCCGCTTCAAAAAGAAAGCATGATATACCGTGCTTTTTAGATACACATTTTTTTTTACAGTGTACAGAAAAAGGAAAAACATTTCAGATTATTAAATTAAATATAATACTAAAGAGAACAATATTTTCAGCCGAAAAAGGACAATATTCAGACTCATCACCGGTGTATGTATCGAAGAAAGAAAGAAGAAAATACAATAAATGAACGATGTATTAAAAATAAAATAAATCGAACAATAGACTTTCACTCAGTGGTCCCCATAGACAAATAAACATGGGATACAATGAACGGATTCTTTGACTGTCAGGATAATTAGTGGCGTATCCATGAGGGTGCTGAGTAGAGCCCATCGGGTCCATGATTTTTGGACCCGGATCCGATGATAAAAATTTATTCAAACCCGGACCGGACCCGGACCCGCTCAAACAAAATTCTCGGATCCGAACCCAATAATTAATTCTTTGTGATTCGTGCCCTAATCACTCATTTGAGCTCTATAATGCAAAATTCTAGTTCGGATTTGATAATCGATCCAAAGATAGGATATCCTTTTTTTTCATTTTTTATGTTCGACAAGTAACATATTCTACATATTCTTTAAGTCATCCGATAGTCCGATAGCGATTCTATAATAATTAAATCAAATTCATTCGTATTCGTTTCTGTCGAAGAATACAAATGTATTTAAAAAAGTTTCATTATTTCTTCTGTATAACAACTATTTTATATTATAGTAGTCGTTCTCTTTGTTTTACTTAATAAAATATGTATACAAAAATCTAAAAAAAGATCATGATTTATAGTGGATTTTTTTCTGGCTAATAAAAATTTATAGACTCGTACCCGGATCCGGACCAGTTGAATTCAAAATCTTCGGATCCGGACCCGATGAATTCAGAATTTTCAGACCCAGACCCGATGGGCTCTAGTGCTGAGCACCCCCACTGAGAAATTTTTACAAATGAGCTTTTTCTCAGTGGAAGGCAAATAGTGGCGTATCCAAGGGGGTGTCCACCGACTTTTTCCTGGTTACGCCTCTAAGGATAATGCAAGGGGAAACAGCTGAATTTGATACGTTTCTGAATTTACTTGAATTTGGCTGAATTTAACTGAATTTTACTTGAATTTAAGTGATTTCGAAATCGAACAATAGACTTTCAATCAGTGGTCCCCATAGACATAAACAAACATGGTATAATGAACGGATTGTTTGACTGTCAGGATAATGACACTAGATTGCTGTTATACGTGTATGTGAATCGTTTAAAACAAATAAAATCTACAATTCTACTGCAACTATAATCGAAAATTCTAATATGGAACTAGATCCTCTAGTAACTGCATAGGAAAAAATTGATCTTCAATTACTATCATATCCGTATATTGAAGGAAAAGTGAACAGACTGATATTTAGCGTATCAGTGGTGGACTGATAAATGTTTCCACAGATGTTTTACTATCTTTCTTTTTCTTCATTAAATTTATTCGATAAACATTCATTGTCAAAGTGTAGAAGAAAAATAAAAAGTGACGTAGCTTAATATAACAAACTAGTTAAAGTTACCCGATCAATGTTTGATTTCAAGCAAAAATGCTTAGTAATAGAGAAAATTAAGTATGCTGAAAACACTTATTAGTTTAACAATAAGTGCATTAATATGGTTTCAGCCTAGCTATTTTCTTGAAAACAGAAAATAGTTTCATATCCAAATGGGAGGCCCTAAGAAAGTAACGAGTATAAAAACCTAACTAATAATCCCATCAACGCCAGAGCAATTCACAAACGATCAACACCATCATACTATTGATCTATCTCCCAGATGCCGCATGGAACCAGATGACATTTCACTCTCGTCACAGCAATGCTCATCTGACGACGACGAGCTCACCAACAACTGACTCAGTGATGATGCAGCCAGTGACGAATGCCAAGTATGAGCAAAACGAAAATATTCATCTATCTCCTAGATGTTGCATGACACCAGATCACATTTCACTTTCGTCACAGCCATGCACATCTGACGACGACGAGGTCACCAACAAGTGACTCAATGATGATCCGGCTGGTGAAGAATGCCAAGCACCATCATGATAAGCACTAAGTAGTTTCAAATAAACACAGGTTTTGGTGGTGGTTTTCTTGACTTCCATGATTGTAAATGTTGTTCCCGGAGGAAGTATGACCTCTTCTTCGTCATAGTGGGAGAGGTGCGATATGTCTAAGCCGCCGTCTCCGGTCGCGTCGATAATGAATAGAGTATTGCCGAAGGTTTGGGCTTTTTGAGGATTTTTGCTAGTTGATATAAAGCCGCTCCAGCATCTTTTCTGGTTGGTGGCTTCCACATATAATTTTAGCGTGTTCTGATCGATGTTTACGCCTCGATAAAGTTCCGCTGCGTGTTTCGAATTGGTATTTAGCCAACTTTTGAATAGAATATAACAAAATGGTCCCAAAGTGTTTATTTTGCTGTTGTCGGTTTCTCTCAGTGCTTTATTTATTAGTTTATATAGAAAGCATTCCATTGTGTATAGCTGAATGCAACGCTTGTAAATTTCTTCTCTTTTTTTGTTTTTCACGGCTATTATTTGGCGAGCTAGATATTGTGACTCACATATTCAACTCATTTTTTTTCTGTATTTTTGAAAAAAATGTATTAAAATACATTTTGTTGGCGTCAAATATGTTTATTTATATCTATTTACCTGTATGTCAACCATGAATCTATATTGATTTTTTGATCTATTAGTACATTCGTATAATATATTTTTATACTTGTTTGTTAAATTTCGAATATGTCTGAAGTAAAATATTTAAAAAAATCGTGAATTGCATAATAATGCGTAGTTTTAATCCATTTCGTTCAAAATCACAACATTTCAAGAAAAATTCGCCTGATACGACAGTCGTTGATAACAATAAGCAGGCAGTGACTATATCGGGATTTCTTATTTATGAAAACAATGGAACTAGGATTAATCAACAAAACACATATATATTGGATAATGAAAACAATGATCAAGAACAGGTAGCATTTAGAGTTAACTTAATAAAGAATTGTAAAGCGATAATGTTTTTAGTGAAGATTAAACCATTAAGCCCTTCATCTCAGCCGATGTGGCGCTGGAAAACTCACGAAACTAATTAACCATAATGAATTTTTAGGAGATTTTTAAATGAATAGGTAGCTAAGACTCGCATCTATCTATCTATGCAATAGCAGTTTTTTCCGTTCTAAAATAGCTTTATGCTATCAAAAATATTACAAAAATTTAAACCACTGATCGGAATTACCCCAAGTTACTCTATAAATCTCGAAATCGATATTTTTGACGAAAATTGACTAACAGTTTCTTCTAACGTTACTTAAGAGCCCCCCCTCAGAAATGGTGATTTTCGGTCAAAAAATCGGTTTTGAGATACGCACATGAAAAGATAGCCTGAAGTGTCTACTTCCAGAATCTGTATTGCTTTTGGTTACAAAAGTGGTTTTTCCGGGATTTTGAGCAAGTTTTCTAAGAGCCTCGAAAAAATGGGTCTTCAAATAATGGTTTTTTCCTGGATACTTATGCAATTAAAATTTTTCTGAAA